GGCAGCTTTGCAGGGCTTGCATTTCCATTATTGATTTTTTTTTTTTTTTCTAAATTACTTGATGAAAATCTGATGTATTTTAAATACTTTAGGAAGCTTTTTGGTGTTGAAATATTAATTTTTTTGCCATGAAATATTTAAAATCGTGGTGGCTGTATGGAGTTTAAGCTGTTCTTGCTAACCTGCACCAACACATAACTTGGTCATTAGAAAAACAGATGACAAAACGAAATGTGCTATTTCAGCCTTGTCATTCGCAAGCAGTGTTAGGAATGAGATATTTTGGGCTTGCATAATTTCTCACTTAAATCAGCTTATGCACAGGAGAGAAACACACTGCAGAATCTGATGGAATAAAGATACAGAACTCGAAAAAAATTTGAACTGCCACTTTGAAAAAAAACACAATACATTCAACCAGATCAGAATGGGGGGGTACAATAACCTCAAACTATATAGGTTTACAACTATACTCAATGGGGAGAGATAGCAGAAAGAATCTTCTTCAAACAGCCCGAGCCAAACACAGTGGTTTTTTTGTCTGTACTCAGCAGTGGGTTTTTAGTCTGTACTGTGAAGCTGTACCTCGAGTCCTGTGTCCAGTTCTGTGTCCCTCACTTGGAGAAGGACATTCTTCAAGTTCTTCTTGGACAGAAAAGGGCATCAGAGCTGGGGAAGGGTCTGGAGAGTGAGTCCTACGAGGAGCAGCTGAGGGAGCTGTGGCTGTTCAGCCTGGAGAAGAGGAGGCTCAGGGGGGACCTTACTGCTCCCTACAGCTGCCTGAGAGGAGGCTGTAGCCAGGCGGGGATCAGCCTGTTCTCCAGGCAACTGGTGACAGGAGAAGAGGATATGGCCTCAAGCTGTGCCAGGGGAGGCTCAGCTTGGACCTCCAGAAGAATTTTTTCACTGAAAGGCTTGTTAAGCATTGGAATGGAGCACCCAGGGTGTTGGTGGAGTCACCATGGAGGTGTTCAGGGAACAACTGTACATGGGCCTTAGTGCCATGTTCTAGTGGACAAGGTAGTTAGTGGTCAGTCAGAGGTTGGACTTGATCTTGGAGGCTACCTAAATGATTATGCAATTCTATGAAAGATCTGTGATATGTGCTTACGCTCTCCTTTGAGGTAAAAGCCATTTATCTCCCCAAAACAAAAGTTCCTAATATACTTTCTCATTAACAGCAGTTAGCACCAGTGAGCTAAATTTTTACCCCCACCTTGCAGAGATGCTTGACACTGCTGAGCCTTGTGTAGCAAGAAGTGTTTGAGTGCTCTTCTATAACTTCAGCTCGGAACATACATACTAGTTAAGCATACATAAATGGAGTTAAAAAAACCCGACAAAACAAACACAAAAATTTGAGTGTGTTTTTGATATTCCTATTTTGTCAGTACCATTCTAGCTATAGAAGTGAAATGATGGCCTTATCTTTATGGAGATGGGAACTATGTTGGAGTCTATACAAAACAATGACTGTATTGTATATATACAATGTATAGAGTCTATACTATACAAGGGCACCCTTTAGGATGAAGTCTTATGTTTGGTCATTTTTATTTGGAAACAGAGTATCCTATTTTAATATGACTGACCCTATAGAAACTTGACAACAAAGTGTTTGTTTCAGAATAATTTCCTGGGCAAAGAAATGTATGTGTGCTTATCTTTGTGCCCTGTTTTATTAAAATGGGTGGAGTTTGTAATTTGAAAGTGCTCCTAAGAGGCAGTGGGCAGGGGTGGGGTGTTCAACACTCCTTGGCTGGGCTTGACCTAAATATGTAGTTGTAACAAGAGCAGCTTCAAGCTCCCTTATCACTAAACAGGAGGTGGTGTGTATATAAGCTGGCCAGTAAAAAAAGCTGTCCTGCTCTTCCCATGTGGGTACCTGTCCTGAGCAAACTGTCTGGTTTATTGGACTGGACTGCAGACACAGTTAAAAATGTACTGGGATTTTCAGTGTAAGAGTAGGTTTAAAATGTAAGTTAATGACAGGATGTTTCAATTTGGTGTAATTATACCCTTCCCTGCATGGAGGTTTGAAAACACGGACGCTGTGAAACTTAGCCTGAATTTTAGCTGTCCTGCAGGATCCAAGCAGTTTGTGTCTCCAGTTCGCTGAGTTTCAGGAAAATGGTTGAGATGAGCATTTGATTCGACTCAGATGTTTTAGAGTCTCTGGACCTCAGCTGCAGGCATGCAGACCTGTGCTTGGGCACCTGGGAGTGAGGCACAGGCAGCACTGCCTTGGCTGTGTTTGTGTGCTGAAGTT